TTTTTTTTTCTGTAAAAATTCGCATCTCCCTTAGTTTCGGAGATTTCCTTCAAAAACTTACCGATGAACTAAACCGTCTACAGGAGGGGAGGGGGAGGGTGTACTGAATTCTCGATGTACAACCCCCTCCCCCCTGCATGAGGCTTCCGAAGGGACCCTCATCGACAATGTACATTGAGAATTTGGGGACGAATCGGCTTGAATCAAACCGAAAGATCGGCTTCAATCACGTCGAAGTCGGTCTGAATCAAGTCGAAAAATCGACTTGAAGGAGACCGATATTCCGGGTTGCATCTGTCCGAGTCTGATTGGCTTCATACCGTCAATTCGACATGAAACAAGTCGATTCCCGGCATGATTCAGTCCGACTTGATTCAGACCGATTTTTCGGTCAAATTCAGATGGAATTTTTTTTGGGTGTACTGTTTTGGGTCGGAGAAGACTCATTTGAGAACATGTTTTTTTTTTAACTTAATGTGTCCGTTGTTTCTAATATCTTCTCCTAATTCTATTCCATTCGAAATTGGAATGGACAGACTGCATAATATGTACTGGAAAGTGAGCAATATAATTCTTTAATGAATTCGAATTATGCGAGTGTAAAGACACCGACCACTCCATGCTCTGGGTACACATTTACTCAAAAAATACGCGAAATGGATTTGCATAGGAAGAACGAGCGGAAGAAGCTGAGATGAAATCTTGAGAAAGCTAGGACCATCTATCTGGGTTTTGAACCAATTCGTTAAAAGTGCCGACTGAACTTTCAGCACTGCCACGAGAGATCTAACACGAGAGCGCTGAAAATACAAGAGTTTGCAATATCCAAGGAGTAGAGGGATCGAAGGATATAGACAGAAGAAAAGAGTTTTTGAGATCCAGAACAAGATACTAGGATACGGCACCTTTCCTCTTGATTTAAGAACGATTTTGCCCGTTTCAAAACATGATAACTTTATTAATGGGAGACTACTATGAGTTTTGAAAGTCGCGGGCCATTGGAAAGAGATTTCTCATTCATTGAAGGTCGATGATATGAAAAATACTAATTGTTTATCGTTCGTTTGCCTCGCAGATGCTTAAAGTGTTACAAATAGTCCAGCACCTCCAATTTCGATCTGAGCTACAGAGGCTTTTAATTTTAAAGTTTTTCAATTGTTATTGTACACAGTTTTTCAAAAATTTTGAAAAAAAAACTTCTGTAGCTCAAAAATTGAAGGCCCTGGACCTTTTTTAACATTTTAAGCATGGGCGGGGCAAACGAACAATAAATAATTAATTTTTTTGCACTAACCATCCGGTTGTAGACATATATAATCGATCTTCAATGCATGAGAAATCTCATTTCAATCGCCCGCGACTTTTAAAACTCATAGTAGTCTCTCCTTAATGCGACCATTGAAAGGCCAAGGAAATTCTACACGAAGAGATTATAAAATTAAACATTACTGTCTGAATATAGTAATCGAGGGCCATGCTAATCGGAAAAACTTTAAAACGTCATTCATTTTAACCGAAAGCTTGCGATGTGAAATTTACTTTTTACAATTTGCAATAGTAATTTTGAACCAACAAGCATTATAAAATTCGAACGAAAATAGTATATTTCGATACGATTGCGGGGGTCTTTTTGTGCTCGTGGTAGGTTTATAGCACGAGCCCAAGGCGAGTGATATAATCCCACGTGTCTAATAACACTTTTCGCGCGAGTATCGAACCCTATTTTTCATCACAATGTGTGGGAAGCGGGGTTTTGCACACGCGGAGCGTGCGTAAGAAGTCACTTTACACACAGCGTGATGAAAATTAATTTTCAAAAGAGTTAAAGACGCTTCATTTTTTTTTACAAATGTTCTCTCATCTGATATGTTTTGCTGTATCACTCCTCCCTAGAGAAATTTTCAAATGTAAGGTTTCAAATAGGATACCCTATATATGATTATGAGACCCAAAGAGAATGACTTTCGGAATGACTTCCAGGACTTTTGGAGTGTGACATGGAGTGACGGAGTAAGGTAAATGAGCGCGTCTACCCGAGTGGAAATTGCTTCAGGCCCACCTGAAGCACGATCAGAACTTGATCAGGTTTTTGTAAGGTTCGACTGATCCGGTGATTCCTGATGAGAATCTGACCAAGTTCTGATCCAGCAGATCGGATCCGAAAAACTACAGGCGGGTTCAGTCCAAGTTCTGATCAGGTAGGCACGATCTCACCCTGAGGTCCGCTGCCTGACCCCAATTTGATCAAATTCGGATTTGATGTCCTTGATCGGCATTTGAAAGGGGTCAAATGAAGAAAAAATGATCAGATTCAGATCCGCTTCACCTGACATTAATTTTAATAAGTTTTTCGGATAATTTAATTGACTATTATTATACTATTCAAATTAAGTTTTATCAGCCATTATCAATAATTATTTTCAATCTTTAAAAAGGATCATTATACTATAATTAAAATAAATTAAATTAATTTAATTTAATTTAATTAATCAATTTAATTAACAGCCAGCCCTTCTCAAATGTACAGAAGGGAGGGATGATGCCGTAAATACGTATTAGAGGAGTATCAAACTTACACGCAAATGATCTTGAGAAAAAAACCACTAAATATCCATTTATTTATTGGTGTTATTGTTATTATCATTATTATTATTAATTAATGAAATAAATAAAAATTTAATTGAACATATTTTATCTCTGAGAATA